CTCCTCCTCCTCCTCCTCCTCCTCCTCCTCCTCCTCCTCCTCCTCCTCCTCCTCCCCCTCCTCGGCTCGCGCCCTCCCTCTTCCCCCCCCCCGCCACTCCCCGGGGATCCGGCAGGCAGCGGCCAAAGCGGCCGTGGCGGCCGTGGCGCCGCCGCCGCCGCCGCCGCCGCCGCCGCCGCGTCGTCGTCGTCGTCGTCGTCGTCGTCGTCGTCGTCGTCGTCGTCGTCGTCGTCGTCGTCTTCCGTCTCCTCCCTACGCCTTGCTCCTTCTCGGCCGCCTCCCCTCCCCCTTCCTTATAGTCCTCCTCCGCATCCTCACACATCCCTGTCTTCAATCAGAGCACGGCGGGCGTTTTTTTGCACTGTTTTGGAATCGGGTGCCTGCACTGGTCGATCCGGCTCGAAAAACAAGTGTGCACAAGAACACTGGATCGGGAGTCTTGGCCTTGATCTCTCCACGACGTCGTGGTCGCGCTTCCCCCCGCCCGAGGAGAATTTGAGGTGGGCCGAGCTCACCGACTGGGTGGGCGCGGACGCCGTGAGCTCGCTTCCGCACGTGCGCGTGAATTTGTGCAGGCTGCCGCAGAAGCTCAGGAGGGGGCGGCGGGGGGATCCTGAGACTTGAGTGTCACATTTTCTGTGTACTCCAGGCGTTTCTGCCTGGCTTCGGTCTCGATCCGGCTTGAGAAATGCTGCAGAAAGATAGGGCATTTGCCCCATGGGTTCTAGTCGTGATCTTCTTCGACGCTGTAGCTTTCACGCTCCGTCGCATTTCAGGGAGGCAGCAGGATGGTCTGTGCCTTCCTTGCGCCTGCGGAGGCCTCCTGAGACCTCTGCGGGATCTCGTGGACTTCCGACGACCTCCGGAAACCTCCCGGCGAGCGACGGAAGAAAACTGGGTCGACTGCGCCGACATTCGCCCGCAGATGTTTCCCGTGCAGGTTCGCGCGTGGCCGCCTTCTCCCCTACGCGGTGTCCAATGCTGGCGGCCCGCGGAAGCCGCGGCGTAAGGTCCGCTGTGTCTGTTCTCGCTCAAGGCCCATCTCCTATCGTCGCTCAAGTGGCAGGGAGGGGCAACATTTGGGTTAAGTCGGGCCTGTCCCTCTGCAGGAGGAATAATAAGAGATAGTTGAACAAAAAGTCTCGGGACGATTTTTTTTGGTCATTTCTGAGCATTTGTTGACTATTTTTTGTTTTTCGCCCAAAATCCCCCTGTAGGGGGACACGCCCGACCTCACATTCGGGTCATCTGCGGTGGCGCGAAGATCACCGCGCCTGGCGTGCCGCTGTCTGTTCCAGCGCGCGTTGAGGTCTGCTTCCCTCTGCGAGGCATGCTTCTCGCAGATCCGGCGAGCAGTTCCAGTTCGGCGCGGTGCAAGTTTCAAGTGGGGCCTGTCCCTCTACAGGAGGAATATTCAAAGATAATCCAATCATCCCGGCAAAGCAACCTAACAGCGATGTGTAGGAGCATATCTGGAAGCATTCCCCTTACGATTCATGTGAGAATCCAGTTGTAGAATTCTGCTGTTCTCGCAGTCGCAGTCGCATTCGCGATGACAGTCGCAGTGGCAACGGTCGCAGTGGCAGTCAGCAGCTCAGCCAGCCTCAGCCTCAGCCTCAGCCTGCCTCAGCCAGCCTCAGCCTGCCTCAGCCTCCTGCCTTCAGCCTCGGCCTCAGCCTCAGCCTGCCTCAGCCTCAGCCTCAGCCTCAGCCTCAGCCTCAGCCTCAGCCTCAGCCTGCCTCAGCCTCAGCCTCAGCCTCAGCCTCAGCCTCAGCCTGCTCAGCCTCAGCCTCAGTCTGCCTTCAGCCTCGGCCTCAGCCTCACCTGCCTCAGCCTCAGCCCGCATCAGCCTCAGCCTCAGCCTCCCTGCTTCAGCCTCAGCCTCCTCCTTTCAGCCTCAGCCTCAGTCTGCCTTCAGCCTCGGCCTCAGCCTCAGCCTGCCTCAGCCTCAGCCTGCATCAGCCTCAGCCTCAGCCTCAGCCTGCCTCAGCATCAGCCTGCCTCAGCCTCAGCCTCAGCCTGCCTCAGCCTCAGCCTCAGCCTGCTTCAGCCTCAGCCTCAGTCTGCCTTCAGCCTCGGCCTCAGCCTCAGCCTGCCTCAGCCTCAGCCTGCATCAGCCTCAGCCTCAGCCTCAGCCTGCCTCAGCATCAGCCTGCCTCAGCCTCAGCCTCAGCCTGCCTCAGCCTCAGCCTCAGCCTGCTTCAGCATCAGCCTCAGTCTGCCTTCAGCCTCGGCCTCAGCCTCAGCCTGCCTCAGCCTCAGCCTGCATCAGCCTCAGCCTCAGCCTGCCTCAGCATCAGCCTGCCTCAGCCTCAGCCTCAGCCTCAGCCTCAGCATGCTTCAGCCTCAGCCTCAGTCTGCCTTCAGCCTCGGCCTCAGCCTCAGCCTGCCTCAGCCTCAGCCTGCCTCAGCCTCAGCATCAGCCTGCCTCAGCATTCAAAATGTGGCCCCTGTGAACTCGGGAATGGAGTTCTGGGAACTCGAAGAACACGAAGTGGCCTACAGTTGGCTCCGGGCATTCAAAATCATGCCCAGGAATGGAGTTCTGGGAACTCGAAGACCACGAAGTGGCCTACAGTTGGCTCCGGGCATTCAAAATCATCAGGAATGGAGTTCTGGGAACTCGAAGACCACGAAACAGTTGGCTCCGGGACTTCTGGGAACTCGAAGACCACGAAGTGCCCTACAGCTGGCTCCGGGCATTCAAAATGTGGCCCGGGAGTGGAGTTCTGGGAACTCGAAGACCACGAAGTGGCCTACAGTTGGCTCCGGGCATTCAAAATCATGCCCAGGAAAGGACTTCTGGGACCTCGAAGAGCACGAAGTGGCCTACAGTTGGCTCCGGGCATTCAGAATGAGGCCCGGGAATGGAGTTCTGGGACCTCGAAGACCACGAAGTGTGCATTTGTTTGCTTAAAACGACTTCCGCGGATTCTCCCCAGATCCTGCCCGGACCCCCCTGGGGAGTCATGATGCTTTTCTTTTGAGACCATTAGAAACCTATCAGTCTTCGCTGTTAGGTAAAAAGTAGTCAGGGGACGATCTTTGGACTATTTTTGATAGTTTTTGAATCTTGTTTTGGTTGTTGGTATTTTGAGTTTTTCAACCTGTAGGAGGACATGCCCGACCTAATTCTAGTTCGGCACGGTGCAAGGTCGGAGAAAGGGTGGATCCGTCCACGGCATGCTCCTGTTCTAGAGCAGGTCCCACGCGGTGCTCCGAGGGGGGGCGCAGGAGGCGTCCGTGCTCGCGCGGGGCATCTCACGACCCGTGCGGTCGGACCGAAGCATGAGGTTGAGTCGGGCATGTCCCTCTACAGGAGGAATGTTCAATAATAGTAAGACACAGTCTAGGGACGTTTTTTTCGGGGTGGGGGGGGGGACTATTTTGTTTTTTTGAGTACTCCTTAGTTTTCGTTCAGAATCCGCCTGTAAGAGGACATGCCCGACCTAACACCACCCGTGCGGTCGGACCGAAGCATAAGATCGAGGTCGGCTCGAGGAGGGTACCCTGCTCGGCAGCGGGCGAGGGGGGGAAGTGAGAAGGAGAAAGCCTTCCTCAGAAGGCGGCGGGACTTCTCGGAAGCCCTCGCGCCTTCTGAGAGAGGTCTTCTGTTCTGTGTTTTCGCTTCGAGGAAGGCTTAGAACACTTCTCAGACGGCCGGGGGACTTCCGAGCCTTCTGAGAAGGCCCGCCCCTTCTCACTTCCCTCCCTGACTCGCCGCCGACCTACGTAGTGTTCGTCGTGCTTGTTGGATGTTTTTGTGCATCCTGGGGAGGGTGCCCTTGGATGTTCTGTGTGTTTTGGCTGGCGGAGGGCCTCATCTCCTTGAAGGATGCTCGTCTGTCCCAGGTCTGGCCGTATTCACTGGTGCGGGGATCAAGATGAGGGAAAGGTGCCGATGCCGCTGCCCTTGACTCGGTCTTGCCCTCTTGGGCCTCCTGGAAGGCCCTCGTCGCCAAGGCTTTGCCTGCTCGGGCCTCCTGGGAGGCCCTCGTCGCTGCGGCCGGAGGCGCCTCGAAACCTTCGCTGGTTTGCGTCGTCCCTTCGGGTTTTCGGGCCTCGGCTCTTCGCCCGGTCGTTGTCCCTCCGCCCTTGTGCCTGCTCGGGCCCTCGCTCGTTTGTTTCTCGGACCCTCGCTCGGTCACCGCCTCCTGCGTCTTCGGGGATGAGCGCTCGACCCCGACCCACGTCCAAACGAGACGCCTCGAAGTCCAAAGTCAGAGCGCACCTGGGGAGAGGTCCAGGGAGCAGCGGTATCGGTGCTCCCTGGTTTCCCCAGGAGGCGTGCCCCCGAGGATCCTGCGGAGCGCCGGGCCGGGTGTGGATAATTACTTGCCGTTCTCAGAGGGGCGCGGTTCGGGGGCAGAGCCGTGTCGCCGAGTTCCCGAGGATGCCATCCCGTCGGCTGTCCTTCCTTTTCCTCCTCCTCCTCCTCTTCCTCCTCCTCCTCCTCCTCCTCCTCTTGCGCTTCGTAGCTCGTAGCTGGCAGTTTCCCGCAAACTTCGCGCCCCGATTCCGCGATACACACACGGTTGGGGTGACGTCTTGTCGGCCAGGGCCAGTGATCTGGGTGACTCATTCAGTGGCGTATCAGTGCCGCTCGCTTGGAGCACTCCGGGGAAGTCAGCAATCGAAGTGCTACTGGTGAAACAGCTTTGCGTCCTCAGGGTGCAGGACGATGTCCATGTCCAGCGCCACGCGAGGTCCTCGTGGGCACGTCTCCACGACGGTGGATGTGGGATACACTCCTGGGCGTGGGTTTTGGAAGGGGTTTAAAACCATGCGGCTCACGCCGCCGCCCTCGTCGTCGTCCCTGTCGCCGTCACTGTCGCCGTCGCCATAGTCGTCGCTGTGGTGGCGGTGGTGGTGGTGGTGGTGGTCGTCGTCGTTTCCCTTCTCCCTCCGCCTTGCTCCTTCTCAGCCTCATCTATCCCCCCCCTTCCTCAGCCTCCTCCTCCGCATCCTCCCACATCAATGCTTTCAATCAGAGCACGGTCGGTGGGTGGGTCGGTCGGTGGGTGGGTCGGTGGGTCGGTTGGTGGGTGGGTCGGTCGGTGGGTGGGTCGGTCAGTTGCCGTCGTGGGTGGGTCGGTGGGTGGGTCGGTCGGCGGGTGAGTCGGTCGGTCGGTCGGTCGGTCGGTCGTCGTCGTCTTCGGCTTCGTCGTCGTTCGGTCGGTCGGTCGGTCGGTCGGTCGTCGTCGTCGTGGTCGGTGGATCGGGTTGTCGATCGGTCGGTGGGTCGGTCGGTCGTCGTCGTTCGAAAGTTCGTTCGGTCGGTCGTCGTCGTCGTGGTTCGTCGTCGTCATTCGTCGGTCGTCGTCGGTCGTCGTCGTCGTCGTCGTCGTCGTCGTCGTCGTCGTCGTCGTCGTCGTCGTCGTGTCGTAGTCGTCGTCCTCGTCGTCGCGGTCGTGGTCGTGGTCGTGGTCGTGATCGTGGTCGTCGTGTAAGTCAACGTCGTCGTCGTCGTCGTCGTCGCTGTCGTCGTCGTCGTCGTCATCGTCTTCGTCGTCGTCGTGCGTCCAAATCCCAAAGTCTCGATCGTCGTCGTCATCCTCCTCCTTCTCCTCGCGCTCGCGCTCGCGCCTCCACGGCCTCCACAGCCTTCTCTCCCTCCCTCCTTCCCTCCCCCTCCGCCCCCTCCTCCTCCTCCTCCTGCTCCTCCTCTTCCTCCTCCTCCTCCTGCTCCTCCTCCTCCTCCTCCTCCTCCTCCTCCTCCTCCTCCCTCTCCCTCCCTCCCTTCCCCCCTCCCTCCCTTCCCCCCTCCCTCCCCATGGACTTCGTCGCACGAGCCACACCCGCACCCCTGCTCAGCCAAGGGGGCGGGGGGGGGGCGCGGGGCCTCTGGAGGGAGCTGCGCTCGGACGGCTCCCCGAGCACGGTGCTCGTCCTGGCGGTCGCCGAGGCCCAGGACTGCCCCCCGGCCCCTCCCGCACGCGGCCCCCTCCGCCGCCTCCGCCGCGCCCATATGGGCAGAGAGGGAAGCGCGGCACTCGCGGCGGGAGCCGCGCGAGCGAGAAGGATACACACACGCACGCTGGTCGTTGAACATTTTTTTTTGTTGGTTGTTGTTTTTGTCTTGTTTTTTTTGTTCTTTCTCTGTTTTGTCTGTTTTTCCCTACCTAGGCTCTGCCTAGAAGGGTTCTTACTCTCTTAGCTTAAAGGGGCCGAGCAATGGAAAGCGCCCCGGGCGGTTCCCCCGGTCCCCGCCCCGCGGTTCCCCCCAGTCCCCTGGGAGCTTTAGCTTTAGTCAGCTTTAGCTTAGCTTTAGCTTAGCTTTAGCTTAGCTTAACTTAGCTTTAGCTTAGCTTAGCTTAGCTTCGCTTAGCGCTTTTAGCTTAGCTTTAGCTTAGCTTAGCTTAGCTTAGCTTTAGCTTAGCTTAGCTTAGCTTAGCTTAGTAGCTTAGCTTTAGCTTAGCTTAGCTTTAGCTTAGCTTTAGCTTAGCTTTAGCTTAGCTAGCTTAGTAGCTTAGCTTTTTAGCTTTAGCTTAGCTAGCTTAGCTTAGCTTTAGCTTAGCTTTAGCTTAGCTTTAGCTTAGCTTTAGCTTAGCTTTAGCTTAGCTTTAGCTTAGCTTTAGCTTAGTGTTACTGTTACTACTAATGCTGCTTTCCTAAGGGTTCCAACTCCTAGGTAGGGTCGCACCGGGATAATCTTTTCTATTTCAGAAAAGGGGAAAAGATGTAAGCATGTCATCGTTTTTGGTTATCAGTAAATTTCGGATCCCAAGATATAGTTCGAGCGCCTTCTGCTTCAAGAATCGACGTGCTGCTGCTGTGTGCTCGTTCTTCTTTGGGAGGGCCCGAGCCCAATCTGCTTTCTCCGCCTTCCTTGAAGTCGGGCACGTTCCTCCACAGGAGGAATATTCAAAACTAAGAAGAATAGTAAGTGGACGATTTTTGTATTATATATACACATGGATATGTGTATATATATATATATATCCGTATCAATGTATATGCGTGTTGTTATAACTCTCTCGCGCTCTCTCTCTCTCTCTATCTCTCCATTTCTCTTTCCTGCTCCCTTTTTTCCCGCTCCTGCGTGTCCTCCCCTCTCTCTCTCTCTCGTTTCTTTCGCTCCATCTCTCTCTCTCTCTCTCTGCCAATCGCGCGGCGTCGTGCGCAGCGGCTCGGATAGTGGAGGGCTCACACACAAAACACGTAATGCATGAATTAGGTACAGGTTCGTTGAAGGGCGGTTGGACACTGAACCAACGCAATGACGCACATCGAGCAATGCGCATATAACCCCAACAGTGGAAAGGACAAACAGCAGCCGACTCACAACAACACTTTCATACTGCACCACCGCCCCCCCACCCCAAAGCTGAGGCTCGAAGTGTTCGTTGGGGCGTGGTCGTCAGCAGTCGGCGAGGCTCTCACGAAAGCCGCCGCAGGCGAGTACTTGCTACGCATTCCACCACGAGCCCGCCGCAGGCGCCACATCTTCGTCAAAACAATGTGGGTGGGTCGCCAATGGGTCGCGCTCGGGTCGCGGGGTAGGTCGCGGGGTGCATCGCGGGTGGTTCGCGGGGTGGGTCGCGGGAGGGGCGCCAGCGACAAGCAGACTCCGCGTCGTGGACTCCGTGTTTAGCCGCGCACCCAGGGATGGTGTAAGACTGCTCGGCCCTCTCACTCTGATTTGGTCCACCGTTCCGTTGCCTCATTGCCGCTGCTCCCCTCGTTCCCCCCCGTTTCCCCCTTACCGCATTCCGCCTGTCACTCTTTAAATGGCAGTTCGGTGGATTCTCCCAGCGGGGGCGGTGGGGAGGAACGGGAGGAACAGGAGAAGGATCATGACAGGTGATGGCGCAGGAACCCAGTGTCAGTGTCCAGTGTCAGTGTCCGTATTTTTCGACGACGACGACGACGGTATCCAGCGTCAATGTCTGCATCCCAGTACGACGACGACGGATGCCGATGATGATGAGGAGGAGGAGGAGGAGGAGGATGAGGGAGGGACGGGGATGGTGATGCTGATTTCCAGCTTTGCAGTGTCCGTATCCCACGACGGATCCGTATCAGGACCCTCGTGCTCCCCGCCCTTTCTCTCAGGCTTCCCCTCCTCGTCCTGCCACCTCCCTCACCCCTCCTCCAGCCCCCGTGCCTCCTTCTACCTCTCCTCCGACGACGGCGTCGACGACGACGACTTCGACGACGGAGGCGGCGACCATAACAACGACGACCACGACGATGACGACGACGACGACGACGACGACGACGACGACGACGACGACGACGACGACGACGACGACGACGACGACGACGATGACGGCAACGACAGCGACGACGGCCACCGCAGCGGCAGGAGCGTTAGGATATTCGCTTTGCGAGGTTGTATTCAGCATCGGCGCTGGTATGTAGCCCGCCTCGAAAGTGGCGACACATTCGTTTTTCGCAGCCCTTTCAGGGATGGCGAGGTGCCGTTTGGGTCTGCGTGGGGTCCCACTGTGCGGGCTCCCCCAGCAGCCCTCGAGAGTGGCGACGGTTTCACCGTTTGCAGCTGCCCAGTGATGGGGAGGTCCCGTTTGGGTTTGCGCGGGGCCACTCTCGGCGGCCCCTCAGCAGGCAGGTGCAGGTAGGTGCAGGCAGGCGAGAGGGGGACAGAGGGCGGAAGGAGGAGAACGGAAGACTGGAGACCCCATTGCTTTACTCAAAACGAAAACCCAACCAAGGGAGGGTTGGGAACAAAAACTCAGGGTGTGTCGCGGGGCGGGGCGTCGGCGGTTCGCGAGGCTCGAGCGCCAATGTAACGAAGGACGCCGCAGGCGCCGGCTTCTCTTCAGCACGATCAGCCCGCCGCATGCGGCGATTCGATAGCCTTCAGTTCAGTGTTGTTGGAGGGTCGCCTGTGGGTCGCGGCTGAGTCGTGGGCGTGAGTCGCGGGCATGGGTTGCCGGTGGATCGCGGGTGGGTGGCGGGATGGTCGGGGGTGGGTCGCAGGCGGGTCGCGGGTTGGGTCGAGGGGATCTTGAGGCGGGTCGTGGAGGCGACCATGAAGACGACGGCAATGACACAACACAGCCAGAATCGACACCACGGAACTCTTTGTCGGCCACGCGCCCAGGGACAGTGTGAGACCGTTCGGCCCCCTCGCCACGGTACGCGTCAGTAACTGCCACGCTGCGGGACTGTGCTCCGCTGCGCTCCCGCGACCGCCTGCACCCCCTCCTCCGCCGAGCCGCCGCGCCCCCTCCCGCCTCGCCGCCCCTGGCCCGCGGCCGCCCCGCTCTCGAGCCGCGGCCCCCCGCGGGGCCCCGAGCGCCCTTCCCGGCTGGCCCCGCTCGCCCCGGCAGACCGCGCACCCCTCCCGCCCGGCCTTTACGGATGGTCGCCGCGGGTGAGTACGGTAGGTTTGCGTCGTGTCGACTCGCGGCGACCCCAGCGCGGGCGTTCAAGGTTGAACGCCGCCAGCGACCCAGAATCAACCTATATGGAACGATCGGGCGATCGACCAGCCGCCGATCGTTCAAGGTTGAACGATCCACGCGGCGTCAGAAACCAACGCTGGGGTCGTCACGACACGGACCTGCAGTACTACACGGTCCTGCTCCGGAGCGACGGCACGGTCGCAGCCTGCGGCCAGAACGGGGACGGCCAGTGCGACGTGCTGGCGCTGGAGGGAGGCGTGACCTACAAGCACGTCGCCGCGGGTGGGTACCACACGGTCCTGCTCCGGAGCGACGGCACGGTCGCAGCCTGCGGCCGGAATGTGTACGGCCAGTGCGACGTGCCGGCGCTGGAGGGGGGCGTGACCTACACGCACGTCGCCGCGGGTTTGTTCCACACGGTCCTGCTCCAGAGCGACGGCACGGTCGCAGCCTGCGGCCTGAATGTGTACGGCCAGTGCGACGTGCCCATGCTGGAGGGGGGCGTGACCTATACCGCGCGCCTGTTTGGAGTTAAGCTGCTCCTGCAGGCATCATTCGACGGCGGCTCACTGCGCTTTCTGACCTTGGGCGGAGTGGAACGCTGCCGACTCTTGGCTGCCCCTGGTGCTCTGCTCGCAGATGTGCACCGTCAGCTGCTGGCCGAGCATGCCGCAGGGAGGCTGGGCCCGGGATTTGACCATGTCGACGCCGTCCTGCCAGAGAGCCTTCTCCTGAGTGATGCCTCGGCCGACGAGACCGTCGCAAGCGTTTTTGGGCCCGCTCAGCGCGGCTCGAAGCAGAAACGCCAGGCTCGGCGGTCCTCCTGCTGTTCTCGGAGGGGGCGATGGGGGCAAATAGCCCAGGGGCGGGCATTACGTGTATTCGCCCGGGAGCTTCGCTGAAGGCAGGGACCATCGGCGACTCTGGATACATGTATTGCTCTGCCCTGGCTATTCGCCCCCATCGTCGCCCCTGATTTTCCTGCTTTGCCCATCACGCTCCTCTTCTTCGCACCGCCACTCACCCTGGAGTCTCTTGTTGCTTTCTCATGCGGGCTTCACTTATGAGTTTCTCTCACGGGGCTCAACTCGCGCCCCCTTGCTGAAGCAAAGCTGGCTTCCGAGTCTCTGGTCGGCTGGAGCCGCGCCAGCCAGGCAGTCTGCTCCCTCCTTCGCCGCACCATCTTCCTCCCTCATCCATCCCTCCCTCCCTCGCCTTCCTCTACCTCCACCTTCTCTTGCACCCCTTTCCATTCTTAGAGAACTCTTCGTCTGACTACCAGACGTGTTGGCGGGGCGTGCCGGGCGTTTCGCCTGAGACTTTCTCCTTTTTCATGACCCCGAAGCTTTAAGTTTCTCATCGTTTCAGTGGTGGAGAAAGGCTGCTTTTTCAAAATGAGGGCCTTTCCTGATGGCCGCGCGCGTTCGTCTGCAACGTAACTATTTATCCAGTTGCCTTCTGCCCACCCCGCCACCGCGCCTGGGTCGTCAGTCAGAGGAGGTGGAGGTGGAGGTTGAGGTGGTGGAGGAGGAGGAGGAGGAGGAGGTGGAGAATGCCTGGTAGGATCTATTGGGGGCCCTCTCGGAGTTGGGGGCGCCTCGGGGGCCTCTTGAGGTGGGGCCTCCTCGGGGGGCTTTTCTCGGGTTGCACCTCGGGGGCCTCTTGAGGGGGGGGTCTTGGGCCATCTTGGGGCGGGGGGCTCAACGTGTCGTTTCAGGGTCCCCCTCTTGGGGCCCCTCCTGGGGCTGTCCTGGAGGCCTCTTGGGGCCCTCGGGGGCTCCCGGGCCGTGTTTGGGCGATCTTGGGCGCCTCTTGGGCCGTCTTGGGCGCTCTGAAGGCCACGAAGGCGGCAATGCGAACACCATACAGAGCCCTTGGATTTAGACAACGTTTGGCATCTTGGGCCGCTCGCTTTAGAGGACTTCCAGGACGGCCCAGGAGGCGCCCGAGAGGGTTCCAGTACGGTCCTTGGGCCATCTTGGGCCACGCCACGCCAAACATGCATGTCGGGAACACCTAGCTCTTGGCTTTGGCAAAGTTACGCGAGCAACCCCACAAGCGCCCAGGAACGCCCGGAACTCTGGGCTATGGACCGCTAAATAGATTGATAAGACAAGACTGGGAAGCGCCGGTTTTGTCCGTGGGGCTTGTAGGGGAGAACGGATGAGAAGGATGATGGCGACGCCAAGGCGGCGGATGACGAGGATGAGAGCGTGGATGACGGGGAGGACAGCGAGGGGAGCAGGAGGACAGCGAGTCGGAAGACAACCGCTAGAACGAGGAGGAAGAGGAGGAGGAGGAGGAGGAGGAGCAGGAGGAGGAGGAGGAGGCACATTTTGAAACATCTTGGCATCGTTTGGTGCAGTCCGACTTCATGGCCCACGGAGTGAGTCTGACAGTTTTCATCCGTCCCGGCGCAGGCCTCCCAGGAGTTGCCTCTCCTAAGCGGCGGCGCCCAGGAGCAGTGGCAGGCGCAAGGATACATCGCGCGGAACGTTTCTTCCCTGGCCGACAGAGCGCGAGATCTCTTCTGATCCCCCCCGTTCCGACGACGACGGCGGCGGCGGAGGCAACGATAACGACGACGACGACGAGGACGACGACGACGACGACGACGGTCAAGACGGCCACCGAAGCGGCAGTAGCGACGCACGGGGGAGAGTGTGCATGGGGGGGAGGGACGGAAGGATGGCGGAGGAGAGAAGGAGGAGAAGGAGGCGGAGGAGGAGGAGGTGGAGGAGGAGCAGGAGGAGGCGGAGGAGGAGGAGGAGGAGAAGAAGGCGAATGAAAAAGAGGAGGACGAGCAGGAGGCAGAGGAGGAGGAGGAGGAGGAGGTGGAGGAGGAGGAGGAGGAGGAGGAGGAGGAGGTCGAGAAGGAGAATGAGCAGGAGGAGGATGAGCAGGAGGCAGAGGAGGAGGAGGAGGAAGACCCGCAGCCTGGCCAGTCACAGGTCCTCCCCCCCCAAGGGGACGCGCAGGTCGCCCTCTCCCACGGCGGGATCGGGGGCTGCGAGGGGCGCGCGCGGGGGGGAAACCTGCAACCTCGACGAGAACGGGATCTCTCAGCGCGGGCGCTTCTTGCGTTCGGGGAGCCAGTGCAGGACGAGTATTCGAACATTGTGAAAGAGTAGTACGGGGACGATGTTTGTATTCTGTTTGAGTATTTTCTGACTGCGCATAATTTTTCGTCTAACATCCGCCTATAGGGGGACATGCCCGACCTAACAGTACGAGTCGGCGGCGCGATCCGACGCTGCGAAACAGGTCAACATCGCGAAAGGTCGTCGTCGTTTTCTCACAGTGGAGACCCACACCAAGAAACACCCTGCTTGCCTCCAGGGTCCCCTTGGTTTCTGGGGCTTCATTGTTCTGCGACGTCAAGTTTTGCTCTCCCGCGCCAAAGCACCGACGGACGTCCTGGGGTCTCAGGATTAGGTTTCTCGTGGAAGGCTGCGTCTGGAGCGGCCCCCACTGTGTGCCGATCTCGCGGCTGAGGAGGGGTCCGACCAGCATCCACGGATGACCCCCCCACCGAGAACGAAGAATTGTAGCACGAGGTCAAGATTGCCCGTGTGGTACTTGTTGGCGGGAGTGGAGCTCCTGCAGATGTGTCCAAAGCTGCAGTTTCGTGTTCTGGCCCGCGTCCCGCCGTGCCAGGACGCTGATGCTGCCACTTCAGGGGTCTGCCAGGACTTGGCCCAGATGAGCTCTTGTTGGCGCGATAGGGTTTGTCTCAGGGGCCCCCGTGCGAAATCCAAGCCGATTGGTGGCACGTGCTCGGGAAAGCCCCGTCTGTGCCAGGAAGTGTTCGAGGCCCTGGGTTACATAGTCATTGCGTTTCCATGCCCGACCTAACCCTTCCTGCTTCCTTGCTTTGATCTGTTTCTCTTCCGACCGACGTGCCGCGCCCTCGGCAAAAGGGCAGCGCCAACGGAAGGGCTATGGGGTCGAAGGGTCTGGAGAGGCGGCAGTCCTGACGAGCCGGGACGACGGAGGCCTGCGGAGGGTCAACCCTGGTCGGGGAAACGAAAGACTCGAGTAAGCCGGAATTTGGGTTGCCCGAAGTTTTTGGACGAGCGCGTCCTGGATTTTGACGGTCTGGTTTTCGTGGGATCTTTGCCGCGGGAGCTCGCGTCAAATTTCAGATTGGGTCTCGTCATTTGTATGATGGCCCCGTCAGGCCAACCCGAGTCCCCCGTACCCTATTCTTACGCCTCCCCGACCTGATACCCCAGGACGTCCATTGACTGTTTGGTGTGTGGGAACGCCACGCTTCCCGTAGCAACACCCCCGAAACCCAGGACACCCAGGGCACCCTGGAGGCAAGCAGGGAGTTTCTTGGCATGGGTCTCCACTGAAGTCACAGCAAAGGCGAAGGGGCGGGTCGAGGACAGGGGGTGGGAGCACGGCCATGCGCGCCTCCGAGAACTCTGGCTCCAGGGATCGTGACCGCCTGGGCCGAGCATGCACGGTCGGTCCGCAGCATGAGGATGCGCGACGAGGCTGTAGGGGGCCTTGGACGCCCATTCCGGAGCTTCTCGAGCGGGGCGCGGCCCACAGGAGTCGCCGAGGATGGGGTCCGCGGAGGCAGGGCCGCAGGGGCACCCCTCGGGAAGAGCTGCCCAGCCTCCCCGTGCGGGTGGACTGCAGGGGGGAAGAGGAGCCGGGCGGAGCCGAGCTGCGGCGGCGTGCCCGCACGCCGCCTCGGCGGCGGAGCCGGCGGGGCGGCCAGGCCGGCGGCCTGTCCTGCCGGCGGAGGGGAGCGAGAGGGCGGTCGCCACAGGTCCGCGTGGCGACGGAGTCGTGGAGGAGGATGGGTGAGGAGGAGGAAACAGGGACCCCAAACCCAAAACAGACGCCCAATACCAAAAGCGCGAGGGCCAAGACAGAACGCAGGCTCCTCGAGACTTCGGGGAGGGAGACTTTTGGGCTCAGGGTTTTACCAGGGTGACAACGACGGACGCAAAACAGACCCCGAAATCTTTGGCCGATCTTCGAATCCTCTGTGAATCCGCGATTTTGGGGTTGGGGATGTGTTCTTTCTTGGCCAAGGGAGGTTCTGGGGAGTCCCTGCCGCTGTGCGCACCTCTCTGCCCTACAGCGGGCTTCTCTCGTCCTCTCCAGCGTCGTGCTCGCCCCTCTGTGGACTCGCACTGCACGCGCGGGTCGCACGTTCTTCGAGGCTGGCGCCCCGACCTCGTTTTTTTTTTGGGGGGGGTATCGAGGCCCAAACGCTACGGTGGTTTCGGTAGCGAATCATGGGAGCTTGGTATGCCCTCTTGAATCCGTCTTTAGCGTCGACTGGCGCCGATTAGCGTCTGGGAGTCGATGAGGTGGCGCCGATTTGACGTCGATTAGCGTCGATTTAGAGTCGACTAGCCTCGACTAGCGCCGGTTTCGCGTCGATTATCGTCGATTCGCAGGAGCCGACAAGATGGTATGGGAGGCTCCCATGAGTTGCCACCGAAGGTGTTCGCATCCAAGTCGGGATGGTGTGACGCAGAAGGAGGGGACGGAGGGCAGCGCTGCGGGCATGCCATACCCTGACGCGCATCTTCCGCGGCCCTTTCCGCGCGCGGTTGCTGCGTGCTTCTTGGCCCGGCCAGGAGGACATGGGCGCCAATGCCGGCCCTTGGTTGCGCAGGCAGTTCCACACCGTCCGCCAGGACTGCCAGGGTGCGGTGGGTTTGTGCCGCGTTGACGCCTCTTTCTTTCTTTGTTTGTTGCGGTCCGGGCGTTTTGCCTTCTGTCCGGCCTGTGGAGCCCGTCATCGGGCCCAGAACCATCAGCGATGGCGCCGGAGCGAAACAACAACGCCCCTGGGGAAGTGGTCGGGACCTCCGGGGCCGCGCGGCGAGCAAAGCTCGCATCGTCGGATGCCTGGGACGTTCGGATGCAACTCCTGGGAGGTCTAACTCTGACTCTGCCCTGGTCCGAGATCCGGCTTCATCCCACTGGATCCCGATTGAAGCCGGCTTCGTCCCGTTTTGAATCCGGGTCTCATCCCGCTGAATCCTCGGCTTACTCCGGCGTGCCAGTCCCCCAATGGGGCCTGATCCTCCCGAATCCTTCCGACGAAGACCTCCCAGTAGTTTCAGAAAGTCCAGGGTTCGCTAGGCAATGGCTTCCTTTCAGAACAGCCCACACTCTCCATACACCCTCCGAGAGCCCTCTGGGAAGGGTTCAGGGAGGGTGCTCGCAGCGTTTCGGCGGGAGGGTCTTGGACGGGCTCTCGTCGTTTTGGGGGCCAGCCGGTCCCCAGCGAACCCCCGGGCTGCCTGACCGCAGTGCTGCCCCCTGACGTTGGCGGCGGAGCTCCCCCCGGGTTGCCGGAGAGCTCGGCCAGCGCCGGCAGGCCGCGTGGCCGTCGGCGCGCGGCGTCGGAGGCCCACGCCCGCGGGGTGGCCGCGGCGTGCGCGCATAGGCGTCGGAGGGGGGCGGGGCCGAGCGAGCGCGCGGGGTTTTTGCCCCGCGTGCGGCAGCGCGGCCGCCCCCGGGCACGCCGGGTGTCTCGATAGGCGTCGGGGGGGGGCGTCGCCCCGGCCGGCAGCCCCACATCGACTCCCGTCGCGGGCAGCCACGGCGCGCCGAAGGCGCTGCGACCGCCGTCGCAGCGCGACGGCGGGGCGGGGTTGACCCCCGTCGGGGGGGTAGCCCCCCGCGCCTATTGAGAGACCCAGAGTAGGTTCTTTCGGTGGCAAATCATGGGGGCCTGGTGTGCCCTCTCAATTCCGTCTGTAGCGTCGACTAGCGTCGATTAGCGTCTGGGAGTCAATGGGGCAGGGCCGGCATAGCGTCGATGAGCGCCGATTCAGCGTCGATTAGCTTCGATTTGCGTCGATTGAGCGTCGATTAGCGCCGATCCGCAAGAGTCAACAAGATGGTATGGGAGGCTCGCGTGAGTTGCTACATAAGCATACGGCAGGTTCGCGTCGTGTCGACCAGCGGCGGCCCCGCCGCCGGGGTTCAACGTTGAACGCGGCCAGCGATCCAGAATCGGTCGATGCTGAACGATCTGGCGTTTCGGAAACGGCCGATCGTGCAAGGTCGAACGATCCAGCGCGGTGTCAGGAACCAACGCCAGGGCTGGCACGAGACGAGCCTGCCGTACGTACACGCCCCCAGTCGCCAGCGCGGAGAGTGGGCGATCACAGCATTTTGGCAGCGGGCTCCAGCGCCGATCCAACGAATCTATGTCATTGTTTATTCCCGTACAGACGGCCTAGGAGGACCCGGAGACGCCCCACGAGGACCCCAAGGAGGCCAAACACATTGCGAAGGTCTTGCGGCTGGTGCCGCCGACCCTGAAAGGTGACGACGACAACGACGACGACGGCAGTCCTCAAGGATGCTTCTTGGGGTCACTTCGGAGCGCTCTCTGGGGCCTCTCTGGGTCAGTTTTGGGGCCTCTTGGGAGCCATTTGGAGGCCTCTCGGGAGTCTCCTGGGGGCCTCTTGGGGCTTCCTGGTGGCCTCTTGGGGGCCTCTTGGGGCCTCTTGGGGGCGGGGGCCTCTTGGGGCCTTCGGGGAGCATCTCGGGGCCGAGGGCTCGAAATGTCCGTTCGGGTCCTGTCTGGGGACCCTTTTGGAGCCGTCTTGGGGGGCTCTTGGGTCGTCTTGGAGGCCTCTTGGGCCGTCTTGGGGCCCTCTTGGAGGCCTCTGGGCCGTCTTGAGGCGATCTTGCGGGCCGCTTGGGCCGTCTTGGAACGTCGGGAAGCCGAAAGGGTGAGAACGCCCAAATCTATGAAACATTGAAGGACAATCAAAGAGGTTTGCAGGTTTGCCTCTTGGGAGTGCTCTTGGAGGCCTCTTGGGGCGCCTTGGAGGCCTATTGGGCCGTCTGGAGGCTACCTGGCGATTCGGGGCCCTCTTGGATTGCTTTGGGGGCCACTCTTGGCCAGTCCTTCGGCCTTCTTGGGCTCCGGGACCCCCCGGGGGGCGATGCCCCCTCAACACGACCTCTGGGACCCCCCCCCTGGGCGGGGAAGGCATCAACGGGAGGGGGCTTCCCTTCGACTCGACCGGCTCACTTTCGCTCTGGCCGGCGCGCTTGAGGAGGAGGGCCCTGGGAACGGGGCGGGGGGGAGCGGCGACGGCGACGGCGACGACGACGACGAGTCAAGCGAAACAGCGTCTTGCACACGCCGACGGGGTCGGCGGACTCTCGAGCTCCCACGGGCTGTGGAAGGAGAGCGCCCGGCAGGGGGCGGGGCGCAGGGCAGGGGCGGGGCGGGGGGCCAGCTGCCGGGCGGGGGCGGGGGCTGCGGGGCCACCGCGGGGGAGGCGCAGGCCACGATCGTTGGCGCTCTGGGGCCCCCGAGGCCCAGCAGCGTGCCTGAGGAGCGCCGGCCACGGGCGCAGGTCACGCGGGGGATGCGGGCGCGGGGCGTGCGACGGGGCAGGGGCCGGGGCAGCCGGGCAGGCAGGGAGGAGGCGCGAGCGCGGATGTGAAGGCGGCTCCCGCTGCCGTGCAGAAGGGGCGCGCTCCGGCGCCAACTCGGGCGGCACTGGCGCCGTGTCTCGTGGGTTGCTCTCCCCGATCCGTGCTCGCGTGTGCCCGAGCCTGCGCCTCCTGCCGCCCGCCGCCCTGCCCCGCAATTCCGCCGAGGGGAGGATGATGGAGGAGGAGGAGGAGGAGGAGGAGGAGGAGGAGGAGGAGGAGGAGGAGGAGCAGGGCAACACAGCAAGGGGAGTGAACAGAGGGGAGAGGGATGAGGAGGAAGAGGAAGAGGAGGAGGAAGAGCAGGAGGAGGAGGAGGAGGAGGAGGAGGAGGAGGAGGAGGAGGAGGAGGAGGAGCGAGATTGCGGTCGCCACAGGTCCACGTGGCAACAAAGTCATTGAGGAGGAGGAGGAGGAGGAGGAGGAGGAGGAGGAGGATCAGAACTGTTGTTGTTGATGATGACGAGGATGAGGAGGAGGAGAGGATGATGGAAAGGAGGGCTCGAAGGAGGAGGTGGAGCATGAGGAGTCGGAAAAGGAGGAGCAGGGAGCTGAGTTGATTTTGTAGACGATTGATGAGGGGGTCAATGATGTTGCTGCTGCTGATGGTGGTGGTGATAATGATGATGATTTTGATGATGCTGCTGCTGCTGCTGATGATGATGATGATGATGTGGTGATGATGCTGGTGATACTGCTAACGATAATATTGATAGCGATGCTGATGGTGAGGACGATGCAGCTACTGCTGCTGATGAAAATGACGATGATCCTGATGCTGACGCTGATGCTGCTGCCGATGATGAAGATGATGAAGATGATGATGCTGGTGATGATAATTATGGTGATGCTGATGCTGATGCTGCTTATGATGATTTTGATTTTGATGATGATGATGATGATGATGATGATGGTGATGCTGATGCTGATGCTTATGATTCTGATGATTATGCTGATGATGGTCATGCGGCTGCTGATGCTGCTGATGATGACGATGCCTATGATGCTGTTGATGATGATGTTGATGATGCTGATACGGATGATGACGATGGTGATGATGATGCCGCTGCTGCTGATGAGGCGGATGATGCTGCTGATGATGATGCTGATGATGATGATGATGATGGTACTGACTCCGATGGTGATGATGATGCTGATGATGGTGGTGGTGGTGATGCTTGTGTTCGTGATGATGAGGAGGAGGAGGATCAGGACTGTTGTTTTGGATGATGACGTTGATGATGAGGATGAGGATGAGGGTGATGATGACGATGATGATGCTGATGCTGTTGATGATGATGATGATATTGATGATATTGATGATGATGACGATGATGATGACGATGATGATGATGATAACGATGATGATGCTGATGATGCTGACGATGATGACGATGATGATGCTGATGATGAGGATGAGGATACGGATGGGAATGATGATGCTGATGATGCTGATACTGGTGCTGATGATGATGATGTTGATGATGATGGTTCTGACGTTGTTGGTGATGATGATGCTGATGGTGGTGGTGATGCCTGTGTTGGCGATGATGATGAGGATGACGACGACCATGATGATGATGATGATGATGATGATGATGATGATGATGATGATGATGATAATGATGAAGATGATCATTATGATGATGATGAGGAGGAGGAGGAGGAGGAGAAGGAGGAAGAGGAGGATGAGGAGGAGGAGGAGGAGGAGGAGTAAGAGAATGAGGAAAAGTAAGAGGAGGAGGAGGATCAGGGCTGTTGCTTTTGATGATGAGGATGATGTTGATGTTGATCACGAGGATGAAGATGAGGATGAGGATGAGGATGATGATGAGGATGATGAGGATGATGATGATGATGATGATGATGATGGTGATGATGATGATGATGATGATGATGACGACGACGACGATGATGATGATGATGATGATGATGATGATGGTGGTGGTGGTGAGGATGATGATGATGCTGATGATGAAGAGGATGAGGATGAGGATGAGGATGAGGATGAGGATGAGGATGAGGATGAGGATGAGGATGAGGATGACGATGACGATGACGATGATGATGATGATGATGATGATGATGATGATGATGATGATGATGATGATGATGATGATGATGATGATGATGATGATGATGATGATCCCCGCGTCTGACAGGAGCTCCTAGCTCGTACTGCCCCTCGAACCGAGGCGTTTCCCTTTGGCCCTGCGGTGGCAACGCT